AAGACCCTGTCTCAAAAAAAAAAAAAAAAAAAAAAAAGGTTGCTTTCAAGTTTTTCTCCAGTAAATCCAACATAGGAGGCTGAGGCAGGAGAATCGCTTGAACCCGGGAGGCAGAGGTTGCAGTGATCCGAGATTGTGCCATTGCACTCTAGCCCAGGCGACAGTACGAGACTCTGTCTCAAAAAAAAAAAAGAAAAGCCCGGGCCCAGTGGCTTACGTCTGTAATCCCAGCACTTTGGGAGGCTGAGGCAGGCGGATCACGAAGTCAGGAGTTCCAGACCAGCCTGACCAACATGGTGAAACCCTATCTCTACTAAAAATACAAAAAAATTAGCTGGGCATGGTGGCGTGTGCCTGTAATCCCAGCTACTCGGGGGGGCGGCTGAGGCAGGAGAATAGCTTGAACCTGAAAGGTGGAGGTTTCAGTGAGCCGAGATCGCGCCACTGCACTCCAGCTTAGGCAGCAGAGCAAGACTCTGTCTCAAAAAAAAAAAGATTTATACCAAGTTTAATTCCAAGGAAAATTTACTTCTGTATTACTCTATTCCCTCTCCCTCTTTTTGTGTTAATATTGCTATATGTTTCTTTTCTTTTTGGGTTTTTTTGGCTTTGGGGTTTTTGTTTCTTTTTTTTTTTTTTAGACAAAGTTTCACTATGCTACCCAGGCTGGTCTTAAACTGCTGGGCTCAAGCAATCTGCCTACCTCGGCATCCCAAAGTTCTGGGATTACAGGCATGGGCCCACCATGCCAATATTGTTACATGTGTTACATCTATGTGTGTTACAAATTCAACAATTCATTGTTGTAATTATTAAAGAAGAGAAGAAAGCACAAATATATACTTACAGAGTTTGTTATATTAACCTCCTTATTTACCATTTCTGGTTTTCTTCATTTCTTCCAGCGGATTCAAATTACCATCTATTGTCATTTTGCTTACTCCAGTGCAACTTTTTTCCCACCCTTTTTCTTTGTGCTATTATTACATTTCTATATGTTATAACCTTGTGCAAAAGTTTAAAAAGTTAAAAATTATAACTCAACAATAACAATTATATAAATATTGTTTTGTGCAATTGCTTTATAAATCAGTTGAGATGAAGTATTCAATTATACCATCCTTTTTATTACTTACAATTACTTTTACTGTTTGTTCATGTGGATTCAAATTACTGTCTAGTGTGTCCTGCTCTCAGCCTTAACAACTTTCCTTTAGTTTAGTATTAAGATTTCTTATAAGGCAGGTCTGCTAGCAGTGAACTCTTTCAGATATTTTTAATCTAGGAATGTATTTATTTTTTCTCCTTTTTAGAAATTTTTCTTTGCCTTCATTTTTTTTTTGTTTTGGTTTTGGGGGTTTTTTTGTTTTTTTTTTTCCTTGAGACAGTGTCTCACTCTGTCACCCAGTCTGGAGTGCAGTGGCGCGATCTCAGCTCACTGCAACCTCCACCTCCTGGGTTCAAGTGATTCTCCTGCCTCAGCCTCCTGAGTAGCTGGGACTACAGGTGCATGCCACCACACCTGCTTTGCTTTTATTTTTGAAAGATAGTTGCCAGTTATAAGATTCTTGGCTAATAGTTTCTACCCTCACTTTGAATAAGTCTACTCATTCTTCTGGCCTGCATTTTTTCTAATGGGAAGCCAGCTGTTAAGCTTATCAAACTTCCACTGTGATGTGATCAGTCATTTTTCTCTTCTGCTTTCATGATTTTCCACTTATTTTTGGTTTTCAGCATTTTTACTATGATGTTGGATATGGGTCTCTTTGTGTTCATCCTACTTGGAGTTTGTTGAGCTTCTCAAATGTGTGGTTGACTGTTTTTCATCATATTTGGCAGGATTTTAGCCATTACTTCCTTGAGTATTTTTTCTGCCTCTTTCTCTCCTTCTGGTGCTTCCATTTTATGTACATTTGTCAAGTTGATGATATTTCGCATTTCTCTGAGTCTGTTCATTTTTCTTCATTCTTTTCTCCTTCTTCATATTACATAATAACTTTGATCTCTAAGTTTGCTGATTCTTTATTTTGCCAGCTCAGATCTCTTGTTGGGTCCCTTGAGTGAATTTTTCATTTTGTTTGTTGTACTTGTTTTTTTTTTGAGTCTTGCTCTGTCACCCAGGCTGGAGTGTAATGGTGCGATCTTGGCTCACTGCAACCTCCGCCTCCTGGGTTCAAGTGATTCTCCTGCCTCAGCCTCCTGAGTAGCTGGAACTACAGGCACACAGCACCATACCCAGCTAATTTTGTATTTTTAGTAGAGACAGGGTTTCACCATATTGGCCAGGCTAGTCTCAAACTCCTGACTTCCAGTAATCCGCCTGCCTCAGCCTCCCAAAGTGCTGGGATTACAGACGTGAGCCACCATGCCCGGTCTGTTTGTTGTACTTTTAAACTCTTGGATTTCTAAATGGTTTTTTTGTTTTTGTTTTTTTTGAGATGGAGTCTTGCTTTGTTGCCCAGGCTGGAGTGCAGTGGTGCTATTTCGGCTTATTGCAGCCTCCACCTCCTAGGTTCAAGCGATTCTCTGCCTCAGCCTCCTGAGCAGCTGGGATTACAGGTTCCCACCACACCTGGCTAATTTTTGTATTTTTAGTAGAGATGGGGTTTCGCCATGTTGGTCAGGCTGGTCTTGAACTCCTGGCCTCAAATGATCCGCCCCCCTCAGCCTCCCAAAGTGTTGGGATTACAGGCATGAGCCACCGCACCCGGCCTAAATGGTTCTTTTTTATAATTTCTGTCTTTATTGATATTCTCTGTGTGATGAGTGATGTTTCTCCTAGGTCTTTGAACATATTTATAAAAGCTGCTTTGTAGTCTTTGTAAAGTGCAACATTTTAGCGTTCTCAAAGGCAGTTTCCATTGCCTGCTTTTTTTCTTCTCAATGGGTTAGTGGGTCACAATTTATTCTTTGTATACTTCATACCTTTTTGTCAAAAACTGGACATTTTAGATAATCGTGCACCTCTGGATAGTATACTGTAGCTGTCCTCAACCTTTTTGGCACCAGGACAGGTTTCATGGAAGATAATTTTTCCACTGGGGTGGGGGAGGAGGGGATGGTTTCAGTATGATTCAAGTGCTTTGCATTTATTAGAGTCTCACAAGGAACATGGAACCTAGATCCCTGCCATGTGCAGTTCACAATAGGGTTCACACTCCTGTGGGAACCTAATGCCACTGCTGAGCTGACGGGAGGTGGAGCTCAGCTTTACCCACCCATGGTTCACCTCCTGCTGTGCAGTCGGGTTCCTAACAGGCTACGGACCAGTACCAGTCCATGATCCAGGGGTTGGAGACACCTGCTATACTGGTTTCTCCTTCCACTAGAGGTTGATTGTGTTGTTTGCTTGGTAATTTGTTTCATTAGTGACTTGCCTGCAGTAGCTCTCTGAAGTCTGTTTCTCTTGTACTGTGCAGCCTCTGATGTCACTGCTCATATTTTCTTGTTTTTATCTTTTGGCCTAACTCCCTATGTGTTGCCAGTGGGTCAGTAGAAGCCACTTATTAGTCAAAGGTTGTGCTTAAGACCTTTTAGCCAATTAAATTTTTTTATCCTTTACTGTTGGATATGTGTGTGTGATTTTGACACAGCCATCACAAATCAGGGAGTTTACATTTTGCCCCACATTCAGCAAGGAACTAGCAACTTAGAAGTTCCCTCTCTGATTTCTTCTGAGAGAGAGTAGTACATCCTTGGATATACACCAGGGGTGCATGTGATTTCTTTATTTTTTTTTTTATTTTTCATTTCTTGAAATGAAGTCTCGCTCTGTTACTCAGGCTGGAGTGCAGTGGCGCAATCTCAGTTGACTGAAACCTCTGCCTCCTGGGTTCAAACAATTGTCCTGCCTCAGCCTCCCAAGTAGCTGGGACTAGAGGCATGCACCACTACGCCTGGTTATTATTATTATTTTTAAGTTTAGCTTCCTAGGAGTTGCCTCTGAGTTAGTGTAGCTTATTGTTCAGCCAGTGTTTGGTCAGTGGTTGTGCTTTAGCCCTTGGTGCCAGTGAAGCATCCACCCTTTTTGATAGATCTATGTGTGGCCTGGGGAATACTCTCAAGTCAAGCCCCACGTCCTGCTCTGATTGCTTCTGAGTGGATGCAGCCTGGTGCAAGCACACATTCTTCCCAACCCCCAGTGTTGGTCATGATTCCAGAAGGGCTTTTCTTGGCTGTTTCTCTGGTTCTGCCTGTTAAACTTCTGGAGGCTTTGCCATTTGGGTTTGTCATACCAGTGCCATAGAGCTAGCAGCACCCTTATAATTGCTTTCCACCAAGATCTCTATGGTTTTCAACACCCTTAGGCATAGATTCTCCACCCTGTGTTCCAAATAAAGTCAGTCCTCTCAGGCAGAGTTTTGGAGCTCTTCATTCTTCAGGCCTTCCTTCCCTCCTGGGCAGAACTTCTGCACAAGGGCCCACTTCTCCTATAGTGATACCCGCCTGTTCTATGAGTAGGTGCTGGGAGAAAGAGGTGTTAGCCCCTGGTCTTCTTGGCTTGCCTTTTCTGTTGCAGAATCTCTAATCTATGAACAAACTGGAATGGGAGCAATTGAAGTCTCAATATTGTCAGCCTACCAGGCCTGGGAAAGAGCTTCTGATCTACAAATAGGGTAGGGAACCTCAGTCCTCTCAGCTTCATCAGCAAATAGAAGTTCTGCAATACAGAGTAGAAATCATTTGGGAGAGACTGGTGTCCTAAAGAGAATTTCAAAAATACATAAATAATTACAGTGTCACAGAGAGGTCACATAAGAACAGAAATAAAGTCCATAAGCTCTAGCAATATGGAAGTCCTTGGTGACATTTTTTGAAGCTGGTTTAATGTGAAATATGGTTAGAGTCAAAGCCAGATTATAAAGGACTAAGGATTAAATGAATTGAGGAATGAAGATTATGCTTTTAATCATTTTAGCCATTCAAGGTTCCAGATAACTACATGTTTCATTTTGCTTTTCTCTTTCTGTTCATTATGTCCTATTTCTTTTTTCTCATAGGTGAGACCTGGAACCCCTTCAAATTACAGTACCAGCTGAGAAATGTACGAGAGCGCATTGCAAAGAACCTAGTAGAGAAGGGTATTCTAACCACTGAGAAGCAGAATTTCCTGCTATTTGACATGACTACTCATCCAGTGACCAATACAACAGAGAAACAGCGCCTAGTGAAAAAACTTCAAGATAGTGTACTAGAGCGGTGGGTAAATGACCCTCAGCGTATGGACAAGCGAACACTAGCACTCCTGGTGCTAGCTCACTCCTCTGATGTGCTAGAGAATGTCTTCTCCTCTCTGACAGATGACAAGTATGACGTAGCAATGAATCGAGCCAAGGACTTAGTAGAACTGGACCCTGAAGTGGAAGGGACAAAGCCTAGTGCCACAGAAATGATCTGGGCTGTGCTGGCAGCCTTCAATAAATCTTAAAGCCAGCAGGTGGATTTCTCCTTTTCCCCTGCTGGCTGGTGACTGTCAGAGACCCCATCACTGAGTTTTGTGTGATGAGATGTTTTCATCATTTTTGTTTCCTTTTCTTGAATCAGACTTGTGATTTGGGGAGAACAACTTCAGGGCTTCTCCATAGACCTTGACCATTATAAGCAGACCTTATTTCTCCCTACACCTCCACTCCATAGGTAAATAAACTGGGTGAACCCACACGTACCCAATGAACATTTTCTCCCATTTCTTGGTTTAGTTTCACCCAGTGTGCTTTTGGATAAGCAGAAATATCTAAATGGGATTTTGAGTTCTCCAGCTATAGAATGTGAATGAGATAAAAAGCGAACTGTCTATTATGTTTTTCTAAGTTTGTTTTCTATCTTAAATACATGTTTTCACAGCCTTTGTCTCTCAGACTCTGCTAAATAATGTAGCTTATTGAAATAACTGTCGCTGAATAAGGAGCAATGAGAAACAAAACTAATTTTTGGAGCCGATGGTCTCTGGAATTGCATATCCTGCTAGTGATTTTCTCATCTTTCCTTTTCTAACCTAATGAGAATGTCCCAGATTCAATTACCTGGATCTCAAAGTCCTAGAGCCAGAAATACATTCTCTCATCCCTCTTAGCATTCTCTTGCTCCCTCATTCACTAGGGCAAAAGTCTAAATGAAGAAAAGAAAAGTCTCTCTCAACACCTCATTCATGCAATCAGCATTAGAATTTGTAAGGAAGGAAGGGAGGTGGCATGAAAATTTCCATTCTTGGAGTATACGACTGTCCTGTTTACTCCAGGCCACTTTTTTTTTTTTTTTTTTTTTTGAGACAGGGTCTTGCTGTTGCCCAGGGAGGAGTACAGTGGTGCAATCACAGCTGACTGCAGCCTTGACCTCCAGGGATCAAGGATCCTCCTGCCTCAGTCTCCGAACTAGGTGGGACTACAGGCACATGCCGCCATACTCGACTTTTTTTTTTTTTTTTTTTAGAGAGACAGAGTCTCGCTTTGTTGCCCAGGCTGGTCTTGAATTCCTGGGCTCAAGCAATTCTTCCACCTCAGCCTCCCAAAGTGCTGAGATTACTGGCGTGAGCCACTGCACCCACCCCTCCAGACTACTTTAAATGTCTCTGCTGTGACTGAATTGAAGGAATTGTAAGTTTCAGTTGCTGAATATATCAGTATATCTGAACTCCAGATCTTTTTATTTCCTATTTTTGGCTTTCTACATAAATTGATAAAATCCGTCTATATTTAAGGGTTCTGGGAGTAGTTTTGTCTATATTTAATCCGTAGATGTACTCCTAGTCATCAGTCTTTATTTCAGTAAAACCATCTTTCTGGCCAAATCTCTTAACACGTTTTTTACTTCAGTAGTGAGGGCAATGAGAAGCTTTATTAAGAAAGATCCTATTTAAAGGGCTAAGTTGGTGTTGAAAGCATGCTGACATAAAGTCCAGTATTTGAGGATATAAAGAGGACGGGCACTGAGTTGTGCTGATGTTAAGCATTTATTATACTTTAATGGGATAGTGCTTCTTGACCATTATAGAACAACAAGCTGTCAAAGGGCTAATACAGATGACCCAGACCTGACCTTAAATCCTCTTGATTAGAAATAATTAAATGAATGATGTATTCATTTATCTCCTCTGCCAAATATACTTAGCCCCACAAAAATTCCCCAGCTCAGTTAACATTTTTATGTTTTTCACTTTAGGCATCTCTTAGGTAAATAGAGATATAAATTGTAATAGGAAACAATCTCTAAATGTGAAACTGAATAGAGCTTCAGTCTGGCTCTCTAATAGGACAAAAGCCAGTCCATGTGTTGTCTCTACCTGATTTAGCTTTTTCTTTTCTTTGAACAATTCGGCATGAATTGAAACCAGGTTTTCCTGTGGAAAGTTATAGCTTGATTGGGGGATAGAAGTTGAATTGAGTTCTTTCTTGAAACTCTTAGTGTTTATTTTTATATTATATCTCAAGACGAGGATATCTTCAGTTTGAATCTGCATAATGTTCACTGCCAAACTCCTTCTCATTTAATGCTTATGGCCTTCACATTTCTGTATAATAAAGATCAGTTATCAGCTCTCTGGTCTCTCTGTGCACAATTTTATAACTTAATTTGTTTTAATTGGAAATAAGGACTTTCTATACAAGGCTAATAATTGCCTCCCCCTTTACACTAGCATACCAGCCTGTTTTATCCTATGTAGAAAATGAAGGATACAAAACCAATTGTAACATACTTAGGCTGAGGGGCAGGACACGTCAAAGCTGACCAGATGAACACCAGCTAATGCTAGAAAGCCTAAATAGTGTCTCCATCTCAATCAAAATAAATTAACCAATTATACCATTATTACCATGAAGAGAATGAATACAATCTGTCCTACTAATACTTGCAAATGACACCTGAATTTAGGAGCTGAAAGTCTTAAGTTCCAAATGTCAGTGACATACCTGACTATAACAGAGCTAACATGTAAAAAATGTAAGTGTGCTTATAATTGGCTTATTGTTCTCCCTTTCTTTATCTATAGCACAAGGGACAGTAATACATTTGTTTACTAGGATTGTTTATACTTTTCTAATATTTTTATTTAAGACAAAGTACTGTTTCCATAAGTCATGCTTTATACAATGTTTCTCAAAGTATATTGCAAAGACAATTGCACCGAAACGTATGTGTGAGATAGGAGGGTACCTTGCTAAAATGCAGATCCTAGTAAATCAGTCTCTGGAGTTAGGAGGAAGCTGCATTTTAAAGAAATTCTCAGCCAGGCATGATGGCTCATGCCTGTAATCCCAGCACTTTGGGAGGCCGCGGTGGGTGGATCATCTGAAGTCAGGAGTTCAAGACCAGCCTGGCCAACACGGTGAAACCCCATCTCTACTAAAAATACACAATAAGCCGGGTGTGGTGGCGCACTCCTGTAATCCCAGCTACTTGGGAGGCTGAGGCAGGAGAATTACTTGAATCCGGGAGGCGAAGGTTGCAGTGAGCCGAGATCGCGCCTGTACACTCCAACCTGGGCAATAGAGCAAGACTCTGCCTCAAAGAAAAAGAAACTCTCTAAAAGCTTGCATGTTAAAATTTGAGAATGCCACTCTATATCTTATTGTCTATAATTCATTCATCAAAAACTATTGAGTACTTACAAATTGATGGGCACTTGCTAGGCACTGACAATAAAACATTGCATAGGGCACCATTCTAGCTCCCAAGAATGCACATTTATGTGGGCAAACAATTTGTGACAAATGCTCAAATAGAAGTATAAACATAATATTTGGAAGCACAAATAAATAGTATTCTCCGTGGGAATGTTAGGGAAGACTTTGAGGTGTTGTATTTCTTTATTATGGTTATCATATATTGAGCACTTTTGTTGTGAGGTAGGTACTATGCTAACTGCTTTGTATATTATCTCATTTATTACAACACTGAAAAAAAAACTTTACAATGTTCTTTTAAAGAAAACTCAGGTGGCCGGGCGCAGTGGCTCACACCTGCATTCCCAGCACTTTGGGAGGCTGAAGCGGGTGGATCACCCGAGGTCAGGAGTTCGAGACCACCCTGGCCAACATGGTGACTCCCCATCTCTATTAAAAATACAAAAATTAGCCCAGTATGGCGGCACATGCCTGTAGTCCCAGCTACTCGGTAGGCTGAGGCAGGAGAATCGCTGGAACCCAGGAGGTGGAGGCTGTAGTGAGCCAAGATCATGTCACTGCACTCCAACCTGGGTGACAGAGCAAGACTGTCTCAAAAAAAAAAAAAGAAAGAAAGAAAGAAAGAAAACTCAGGTAATGAGGCTTGCCTGAGGACATAGTGCAGAGCTTCAGTTCAAACACATTTTTAATCACTACACTTTCTTGCCTTCATTTGAACTAAATCTCAAAGGATCGGCTGAGCCAAGATGGCCTATGCCTATAGTCCCAGCACTTTAGGAGGCCAAGGTGGGAGGATCACTTAAGTCCAGGAGTTCAAGATCAGCCTGGGCCATAGCAAGACCTTGTTGCTATTTTTTTAAAAAATTTTTAAAGTCTCAAAGGATCTTTTTGGGGTAAGAGGGAAGAGCCAAGGCTACCCTACGAAGAGGAAACAATATGTACAAAATAATTGGTGATGTGCTAGAATTTCATGAATGCATGTAGTTTTCACATATTTCCAGAAAAAAAAATTTTTTTTTTGAGATGGAGTTTCACTCTTATTGCAAAGGCTAGAGTGCAATGGCACGATCTCAGCTCACTGAACCTCCGCCTCCCAGGTTCAAGTGATTCCTGCCTCAGCCTCTTTACTAGCTGGGATTACAGGCACCTACTACCACGTCCGGCTAATTTTTTATATTTTTAGTAGAGATGGGGTTTCACCATGTTGGCCAGATTGGTCTTGAACTCCTGACCTCAGGTGATCCACCTGCCTCGGCCTCCCAAAGTGCTGGGATTACAGGCATGAGCCACCACGCTCGGCCCAGAAAATAAGAGAATATATTCAAGTTGTAAAGTAAACAAAGGATTTTGAAACTAGCAGCTCTTTTTTTAGAGATGGGGTCTCACTTTGTTGCCAAGGCTGGAATGCAGTGGCTATTCACAGGCACTATCATAGCCCAATGCTGCCTCAAACTTCTGGCCTCAAGGGATCCTCCCGCCTCAGCCTCCCCAGTAGCTGGGATTACAGGCATGTGCACCATGACAAGCTAAACTTTTTTTGTTGTTTGTTTACCTTGACTTACTCCTTTCCTGTTGCTTTTCTTTATATAGAACTGAGTTTCCAGCCAGGCGCAGTGGCTCACACCTGTAATCCTAGTACTTTGGGAGCCCGAACAGGCAGATTGCCTGAGGTCAGGAGTTCGAGACCAGCCTGGCCAACCTGGTGAATCCCCATCTCTACTAAAAATACAAAAATTAGACGGGTGTAGTGGCAGTCACCTATAATCCCAGCTACTGGGGAGGCTGAGGCAGGAGAATTGTTTGAACCTGGGAGGCGGAGGTTGCAGTGAGCCAAGATCGTGCCACTTAATTCCAGCCTGGGTGAAAGAACAAAACAAACAAACAAAAATGGAAGAACTGAGTTTCCCACCTATCATTTTCCTTCTCTCAATAACATTTCTTACAGAGCAAGTCAGCTGGACATAAATTCCCTCAGTTTTTGTCTAAGAAGGTCTTTATTTATCCTTCATTTTTGAAGGATAATTTAACTGGAAATAGAATTCTAGGTTGGGCTGGGTACAATAGCTCACACCTTTGTAATCCCAGCACTTTGGGAGGCTGAGGCAGGAGGATCACTTGGCCAGGAGTTTATGACCAGCCTGGGCAACATAGCCAAAGCCCCAGCTCTACAACAAGAACAACAGAAATAATTACAGGTTGGTGGGTTGTTTTTGTCTTTCAACACTTTATATATTCCACTGTCTTGCATGTATGCACACATGCTTTCTGACATTAAATTATAACAAAACTGAAATTTAATTTAGATTCTAACAGATAAAATTTGTTCTTCCTTTTTGCCACACATCTAAAATGCCCATAAGTGTATATTCATATGATTTCTAAAAATGTGTTTTATTCTCCCTAAAGAATAAAAATAATCACTTTAATGCTGAAATGTTAGGTAACACTGCCTTTTTTTTTTTTTTTTCTGATATTTTTCTATTATCTGTTACATGTGTGTATATACTCTTTGTTTCTGTGTCCACAATTCTCAAAGCCTTAGTCTGTCTGATTTTTCTCCTCAGTGAGTTCCAAGTTGTCTGTAATTTGGAAAGAGACAAACCAAACATGCTTTTATTGTTGTTTTTGTAGAGACGGGGGGTCTCCCTATGTTGCCCAGCCTGGTCTCAAACTCCTGGGCTCAAGGGATCCCCCTGTCTCAACCTCCCAAAGTGCTGGGATTACAGGCGTGAGCCATAGTCCCCAGCTGAAAAGTGACTGTTTATTGATAATTGAGGAAGCCATCTCTCCCAGAAAGCAGTAAAATTTTATCGAATGCAAGTCAAAGCGAGAGTCACTTCCTGGCAGAAATCTCCATTTTCTAGCAGCTCAGCTAACTCACTTACCGTGTTAGTTTTCTTTTGAATTCCAAATTGTAAAAAAGTAAATTCAACCAGAGGGGAAAAATTAAATACTCCCTAAGAGCTCTGAAGACAGACATTTTTTGTGTAGAAATTTTCCCCAGAATATAAATAATCTGGCTACCACTTTGTTTTTCTTAATCTAATTCAACCTCCCAACGTATGATAGTAGATTTTATCTGAATTTACTTCAGAAGCTTACCTGGGAATCCAGGGCCTTCTCCTTCAGAAGGGCTTCTTAACTGAATCCATGTTTCTGCCACAAGAAGAAAGTCAGTCCAATAAATGTACATCATTTTCCTGATTTAATGAGAAAAATTTTAAGCCTAAGTTTTTCTTGTATTTCAGAGATATTGAAATGTTTCCTCCTTATCTGAAAGTGAGACTTCTTCAAAGATTTATGGATATTTAAACCCTTAAAATACCTCAAAATATTTGTAAGTTAGCCTTAATAATAATTCTTTTCCCCCTAGTTCTATCACCTCACCTTCTCTTGAACCCCCAAGTAGAGGCCAAAAATCTCTTGAATAAGTTAAATTAAACTGATTTATATTAATCCAAAGTAGATATTTTTTCTTTTGGGGAGTAGGGAAGAAATGGGTCTAATTAAGGAGGTGAAGAGTGGAGAAGGGTGAAGATAACAGAATAGCCAAATGGATTCTCAGGAACATTATGAATATTTAAAAGGCTGAACATTCAATCTGAGAAAGCTGATTGAAGAAAATACCGAACAAATTTTCTTCTTTTTTTTTTTGAAACAGAGTCTCTCTCTGTCACCCAGGCTGGTGTGCAGTGACACCATCTTGGCTCACTGCAACCTCTGCCTTCTGGATTCAAGTCATGCTCCTGCCTCAGCCTCTCAAATAGCTGGGATTACAGGAATGCACCACAAGGTCCAACTAATTTTTGTATTTTTAGTAAAGATGGAGTTTCACCATGTTGGCCAGGCTGGAGGCTCTCGAACTCCTGGCTTCAAGTGATCCCCCCGCCTGGGCCTCCCACAATACTGGGATT